GTGTTAGAAACTTGACGAAACGTGTTGGTAACATGTTAAAACGTGTTGGAAACGTGTTAAAAAATATGATAGAACGTGTTGGAAACATGTTGGAAACGTGTTTAAAAATATGTTAGAACGTGTTGGAAACTTGACAAAAACTTGAAACGTATTAAAACGTGTTAGAAACTTGACGAAACGTGTTGGTAACATTTTAAAACGTGTTGAAACTTGTTAAAACGTGTTAAAAAAAATAAAACGTGTTAGAAACTTGTTAAAACGTGTTAAAACTTGTTATAACGTGTTAAAACATTTTAAAACGTTTTGGAAACGTGTTTAAAAATATGTTAGAACGTGTTGGAAACATGTTAAAACGGACTGGAACATGTTAAAACGTATAGAAGTGTTAGAACGTGTTGGAAACTTGACAAAAACTTGAAACGTATTAAAACGTGTGAGAAACTTAACGAAACGTGTTGGTAACATGTTAAAACGTGTTAGAAACTTGTTAAAACGTGTTCAAACTTGATATAACGTGTTAAAACATGTTAAAACGTGTTGGAAACGTGTTAAAAAATATGTTAGAACGTGTTGGAAACTTGACAAAAACTTGAAACGTGTTAAAACGTGTTAGAAACTTGTCAAAACGTGTTAAAACATTTTAAAACTTGTTGAAACTTGTTAAAACATGTTAAAACATATTAAAACGTGTTGAAACTTGTTAAAATATGTTAAAACGTGTTGGAAACGACAAAACGTCAAAACGTGTTGGAAACATGTTAAAATGTGTTTGAAACTTTACGAAACTTGAAACGTGTTAGAAACATGTACGAACGTATTAGAAACATGTTAAAATGTGTTAAAAACTTGAAACGTGTTAGAAACATGAGACGTGTTGGAAACATGTTAAAATGTGTTAAAATCTTTACGAACGTGTTGGAAACATGTCAAAATGTGTTAGAAACGAAATGTGTTGGAAACATTTTAAAACGTGTTGGAAAGTAGACGAAACACGTTAGAGTATATTAGAAACGTGAAACGTGTTGGAAGCATGTTAAAACGTGTTAAAATGTGTTAGAAACTTTACGAACGTGTTGGAAACATGTTTAAATGTGTTAGACTTGACGAAACGTGTTGGAAACATGTTGAAAATATGTTAGAAACTTGACGAAACTTGAAACGTGTTGGAAAAATGTTAAAACGTGTTAGAAGCATGTCATCAAAACCGCTAAATATAAATAGATCATAAACAAAATAATGATAATAATAATAATAATAATAATAATAACAATAATAATAATAATAATAATAATAATAATAATAATAATAATAATAATAATAATAATAATAATAATAATAATAATAATAATAATAATAATAATAATAATAATAATAATAATAATAATAATAATAATAATAATAATAATAATAATAATAATAATAATAATAATAATAATAATAATAATAATAATAATAATAATAATAATAATAATAATAATAATAATAATAATAATAATAATAATAATAATAATAATAATAATAATAATAATAATAATAATAATAATAATAATAATAATAATAATAATAATAATAATAATAATAATAATAATAATAATAATAATAATAATAATAATAATAATAATAATAATAATAATAATAATAATAATAATAATAATAATAATAATAATAATAATAATAATAATAATAATAATAATAATAATAATAATAATAATAATAATAATAATAATAATAATAATAATAATAATAATAATAATAATAATAATAATAATAATAATAATAATAATAATAATAATAATAATAATAATAATAATAATAATAATAATAATAATAATAATAATAATAATAATAATAATAATAATAATAATAATAATAATAATAATAATAATAATAATAATAATAATAATAATAATAATAATAATAATAATAATAATAATAATAATAATAATAATAATAATAATAATAATAATAATAATAATAATAATAATAATAATAATAATAATAATAATAATAATAATAATAATAATAATAATAATAATAATAATAATAATAATAATAATAATAATAATAATAATAATAATAATAATAATAATAATAATAATAATAATAATAATAATAATAATAATAATAATAATAATAATAATAATAATAATAATAATAATAATAATAATAATAATAATAATAATAATAATAATAATAATAATAATAATAATAATAATAATAATAATAATAATAATAATAATAATAATAATAATAATAATAATAATAATAATAATAATAATAATAATAATAATAATAATAATAATAATAATAATAATAATAATAATAATAATAATAATAATAATAATAATAATAATAATAATAATAATAATAATAATAATAATAATAATAATAATAATAATAATAATAATAATAATAATAATAATAATAATAATAATAATAATAATAATAATAATAATAATAATAATAATAATAATAATAACTTTAATTATAACCGGTTGCCACCTATTAATGCCTATTATCATTACTTTCCCTATTATTATTATTATTATTATTTATTATTATTATTATTTATTATTATTATTATTTATTATTATTATTATTATTATTATTACTTTTATCATTACTCTCCCTATCACCACCTTTATCAAATATTTTTCTTCTCCATTTTTCTCACCTAATAATATTTTTATTATTGTTATTATTATTATTAAGATTATCATTATTATTACTATTCTTATTATTATTACTTTTATCATTACTCTCCCTATCACCACCTTTATCAAAGTTTTTTCTCCTCCATTTTTCTCAACTAATTTTTTTTTTTCTCATTATCATTATTATTATTATTATTATTATTATTACTATTATTACTATTATCATTATTCTCCCTGTTATGCCTATCACCACCTTTATCAAATATTTTTTCTCCTCCATTTTCTCACCTAATAATATATTTCTCATTATTATTATCATTAATACTATAATTATTATCAATATTATCAGTATTATTACAATTATCGTTATTATTATTTTTTTTATCATTAGTCTCCCTATCACCACTTTTATCAAATATTTTTTCTCCTCCATTTTTCTCACCTAATAATATTTTACTCATTATTATCATTATTATCATTATTATTACTATTATTACTATTATCATTACTTTTATAATTACTCTCCCTTTCATCCCTCTCACCACCTTTATCAAATATTTTTTCTCCTCCATTTTTCTCACCTAATAATATTTTACTCATTATTATCCTTATTATCATTATTATCATTATTATTACTATTATTACTATTATCATTACTTTTATAATTACTCTCCCTTTTATCCCTCTCACCACCTTTATCAAATATTTTTTTTCTCCTCCATTTTCTCACCTAATAATATTTTACTCATTATTATCATTATTATTATTATTATTATTACTAATATTATTTATTATTATTTCTATTATCATTACTCTCCCTTTTATCTTTATCACCACCTTTATCAAATATTTTTTTCTCCTCCATTTTCTCACCTAATAAATGCGCAGCAATGACCCTAGTCGCGTTTTTTCCCGCCAGTCTCGGTTGTTGCCTTGCGAGCACTTTTATCACGTCCTCTCTCTCTTCCTCTTTATCACCATTCTCTCTCTTCTTCTTCTTCTCCTCTCTCTTCTTCTTCTTCTTCTTCTTCCTTTTTCTAAATAATCGGAATAGATTAACCTCCGAGGAAGAGGAAGGACGAATTTTCTCGCGATAGATGGCGTTGTGGTCGAGCGGCGTCACGTTTTCTTTGAACTTGCCTTGGATGTTGCCTGTTAAAAGAAAGAAAATGGGAAATAGAAAACGGAAATGTGGATGTTGCCTGGAAAAAGAAAGAAAACGGGAAATAGAAAATGAAAATATGGATCTTACGGGAAATAGAAAACGAGAATATGGATGTTGCCTGGAAAAAGAAAGAAAATGGGAAATAGAAAACGGAAATGTGGATGTTGCCTGGAAAAAGAAAGAAAACGGGAAATAGAAAATGAAAATATGGATCTTACGGGAAATAGAAAACGAGAATATGGATGTTGCCTGGAAAAAGAAAGAAAATGGGAAATAGAAAACGGAAATGTGGATGTTGCCTGGAAAAAGAAAGAAAACGGGAAATAGAAAATGAAAATATGGATCTTACGGGAAATAGAAAACGAGAATATGGATGTTGCCTGTTAAAAGAAAGAAAATGGGAAATAGCAAACGAAAAAATGAAAACGGGATGTTGCCTGAAAAAGAGAAAGAAAATGGGAAATAGAAAACGGAAATATGGATGTGGCCTGGAAAAAGAAAGAAAGAAAATGGGAAATAGAAAACGGAAAAATTAAAACCGGGAATGTGGATGTAGCCTGAAAAGAGAAAGAAAACGGGAAATAGAAAATGGAAATATGGATCTTACGGGAAACAGAAAATAGGAAATAGAAAACGAGAATATGGATGTTGCCTGTTAAAAGAAAGAAAGAAAAGGGGAAATAGAAAACGGAAAAAATGAAAACGGGAATGTGGATGTTGCCTGAAAAGAGAAAGAAAACGGGAAATAGAAAATGGAAATACGGATTTTATGGGAAACAGATAACAGGAAATAGAAAACGAGAATATGGATGTTGGCTTTAAAAATGAAAGAAAATGGGAAATAGAAAATGGAAAAATGAAAACGGGAACGTGGATGTTGCCTGAAAAGAAAGAAAACGGGAAATAGAAAATGGAAATATGGATCTTACAGGAAATAGAAAACGAGAATATGGCTGTTTCCTGGAAAAAAGAAAGAAAATGGGAAATAGAAAACGGAAAAATGAAAACGAGAATATGGATCTTACGGGAACAGAAAACAGTATATAGAAAACGAGAATATGAATGTTGGCTTAAAAAAAAAAAAGAAAACTGGAAACAGAAAACAGGAATGCGAAAATTGAAGGGGAACTATATAAAAAAATGGATAGATATAGATAGATAGACAGACATAGATATAGATA